GGTTGTGAGCTCTGGGTTGAGAGCATATTAATTCAAATATACGACAGGAACGATGGTCGTGTAGCTTTCCAGCTGTCAACGATCTTTACTCAAAGATCTATTCTTTAATTACTTACCGTTCCATACCGCGTGCCCGAAGAAGTAATATCCGCCTCCTTCGTAGTTTACAAATATCATCAGTGTTATGGCAATTCTACAAAGAAATAAAAAAGACATATCTATGCCTAAATTTAGCAAATTATCTCTGCTTCCTTTGTTGTTGTCGTTGTTGATGATGTTGTTGTTGAATTACGAGTGCTTTGTTTTGTCTTGGTTTAGTAACCAGTTAGAGTTTATTTTCATAGCCGGGCATAAAACGCATGAGATCTAAAGAAAGACCACGCCTACTACCTATTTTTATTAAGTTATACCGTAAAGTTAATGTCTTAAAAGTTTCCGGTTTAATTTCTTCTTTGCCATAAAGACAAAGGTTGTCATCAAGGAGAGAACAGTTTGATAAGTCGCTTGTTCACCCTGTTCAACAGTGTCTCAATTGTGCCTGTACCTTGAGAGACACAATACAATACACATGGCCGGTTTTCATCCTAATGTTACAGTAATGTGAAGCAATTGGAAAGTTATGTTTATTCATGCTTCATATCCAAAAAGGCTCAATGTAACTGCCTACATATCAGTATAGTATATATGTATAATGTCCGACCGTTATATATACTTGCCCCCTGAAAGTATCGAGTGACTTTAGTCTTCTTTTCACCAAGGGTGTCTGTACAGTCTGAAAAATGCAAAGAGATCTACATCTGGCTCCGGTTGTTCAAACCCTGGATAGCGCTATCCACCGAATAAATTACTATCCAGCGGATAAATATTAGGGAAACCAATTACCTTATCCACTGGATAGAGATTTATCCAGTGGATAGCGTTATCCACCTCTCCAACAACTCAAGGGCCCTGAAAGTTGGTAGACGATCGTGAGGTGTGTGTGAGAAGTGTGTATCATCAGTATCAGTTCAAAAATCACTATAATAAACCTCGATCAGATACTGATGCTTCAGCATTTTGTGCCCCTTTGGTGTATAGGTATAGGTAAATCATTGATATGCATATCTGTGACGACACCAATTGTTTTAACAAAGGGAAAAAAAGCGTTCCTCCATACTAATTAAGTGCTTAATTCCAATGTACTAGAAGACTGATAACCCTATTATCTTGAATATGTACTTTCCTTTTTTCTTTGCTTTTGTTTTTGCTTTGTTCTTTTGTTTGTTTGTTTTGCTTCGTTTCTCTCAATTACTAGTTACTATCATTACCAAGAGATAGAAAGTAGACGGAACTTGGTTACCTGTTCAGTTTCCTGGGGGGCCTGTGATTCCGAGTTTCCTGCGATTTTCTGTAGATACAAACAACAACAACGACAAAAAAAAGTTGTAAGTTGAGTAAACACGGCCAGGAGCCATGCCATAAGTATAGAAGGAATATGATCGTCCGCACCTTGATAGCCTGATGTTGACAATGTTTTGAAAACGTGTGAAAAAAACATGATTTTTTATCAAGTCAAAGTGAGCTGTGTTACTTGAGTGCATTTCACTGTGGTAGTCTGCGTAACTGGTGGATTTGTCCATGTAAAGCTAGTGCCAAGACCCAAGGTCGAGTTTCTGCTAGTGGCATAGCTGAAGCCGGGGATCAAAGCGGGTTTAAGTAGTAGAGTGTCAAGCGATTTCAATTCAGGTTATTGATTTGGTTGGACATCAAATTTAAATTCACTAAACATTTTCAAGGAATTTTTTGAATGCTAGTTATAAAGACTTGGCTGTTAGTCTTTGAGTTTTTTACTAAATTGTTCTCAGCCAAATATGTATGAGTTTTTNGATATGCATATCTGTGACGACACCAATTGTTTTAACCAAGGGAAAAAAAGCGTTCCTCCATACTAATTAATAAGTGCTTAATTCCAACGTACTAGAAGACTGATAACCCTATTATCTTGAATATGTACTTTCCTTTTTTCTTTGCTTTTGTTTTTGCTTTGTTCTTTTGTTTGTTTGTTTTGCTTCGTTTCTCTCAATTACTAGTTTATCATTACCAAGAGATAGAAAGTAGACGGAACTTGGTTACCTGTTCAGTTTCCTGGGGAGCCTGTGATTCCGAGTTTCCTGCGATTTTCTGTAGATACAAACAACAACAACGACAACAAAAAGTTGTAAGTTGAGTAAACACGGCCAGGAGCCATGCCATAAGTATAGAAGGAATATGATCGTCCGCACCTTGATAGCCTGATGTTGACAATGTTTTGAAAACGTGTGAAAAAAACATGATTTTTTATCAAGTCAAAGTGAGCTGTGTTACTTGAGTGCATTTCACTGTGGTAGTCTGCGTAACTGGTGGATTTGTCCATGTAAAGCTAGTGCCAAGACCCAAGGTCGAGTTTCTGCTAGTGGCATAGCTGAAGCCGGGGATCAAAGCGGGTTTAAGTAGTAGAGTGTCAAGCGATTTCAATTCAGGTTATTGATTTGGTTGGACATCAAATTTAAATTCACTAAACATTTTCAAGGAATTTTTTGAATGCTAGTTATAAAGACTTGGCTGTTAGTCTTTGAGTTTTTTACTAAATTGTTCTCAGCCAAATATGTATGAGTTTTTGTGTTTTGTTTTTTCCCCACTTTTGTAGGGGTAATAAAGGAAATAAATTAAGTCATATTAATTTGCTAATATCGAGATATAACTGAACAAATCTATACCAAAGTAAAATGCAAGGAACAGACACACAAAAGCAGTTATTTCCGGCAAATATACATCTTACCAATTCCGTGTGTTCTCCTTCTTCTGCTTCGTTCTACCGTCACAGTTTTTTTTTTTGCAAATGAAGAAGTGAAAGTATCATGAGTGAGTAGAATTCACTATGAAGGAAATAAATTAAGTCATAAATTTGCTAATATCGTGATAAAATTGAACAAATCTATACCAAAGTAAAATGCAAAGAACACACACACAAAAGTAGTTATTTCCGGTAAATATACATCTTACCAATTCCGTGTGTTCTCCTTCTTCTGCTTCGTTCTACCGTCACAGTTTTTTTTTTTGCAAATGAAGAAGTGGAAATATCATGAGTGAGTAGAATTCACTATAGTTTTTTTTTTCTTTTTTTTAATTTGTTCCAAGTTTTTACACAGGAAGTCCAACAGAACACAACATCATGGAATGCTTTCGGCATCTCACTCTTCCGTTGGCCACAGGCAACACAGCTTCCGTACCAGGGAGAAGAGCGGAGTGGAGACTTCATTAAGAGAGGGTGAAATTTGACAGTTACAATTATAGAAAGAGTCTAGCAACTGATAAACTTGCAGCCCACGTGACTGTACATCTACAACAGCGGCAATTGGAATGGTATTGAAACTATACTCAAGTATCCAATGCCACAAATATACAATATATACACCTCTCGAATTTGCGTAAAGAGCGAGAAATTTTTTTTTCAAACCCCTGGTCAGAACTGGTAAGACATTAATTGATCTGCGTAAATTGATAAATAAGGAAAAGGAACACAAAAACAACGCAAAGATGTATACTGTGCATACTGGACAAAACTTGGACACAAGGGGTGCCATAAAATTAAACGGTACTTGTTATGCTTTTAATGTGGGAGGGTAGATGATCCTTTGCTGTAGGCACGACAACACTAACTGTACTGTGCCTTAAAAACGTACTGTGTTACTCTGTGTTTTGTAAGAGACTTATCACCCTTAATAAGTCTGAGTACTTACTAATTCTGATGAGCGCTTCTTACACCTGGCCTTCGTAAAGGATTTGCATTTAACCTCCAAATTTTTTACTTAAGCGTAGACTTGGGATCGGAATTGGGACTCATGGAGAGAACGAAAGGAAAACGATACGTAATTCATGATCCTTCAAAAACACTCTTGAAATTACCGTCTAAGATTTAAGTAAAATTTTTGGGGAAATACCGGCACGGTAGGAAGGAACAAGAGTTTATTTTGCTTTTGTTTGGTATTCAGTTAACACGTTACTGTAACTTCTGTAGACTTTCTTGCACAAAATAGTGCTATATTCAACCCATTTCTTCCCGTAACGGTTATTTCTCACAATAACCAAGAGGTTCGTCTACAGTTGCTGGTCACTATCACTTAACGAGTAAAAAAAGTAACAAAAGTAACAAAATAAAACCTGTCATGAAATTAAACTACAAAGCAGGAATTTAAGTGACCAGAACGCGACGGTTCCCTTGTACGAACGACCATTCATTTAGACGAAAGGCTCCTTCATTATGTCCTCTCGATTGCTCGAAAAAAAAAAACATGCCATGTTGTAGAGCTTGACAAGACTTTACTAAAGTCAGTAGTCCATTACCATTACCTTGTTATTAAGGTCAATAAAACCCATGTGACAGCCAAGCCAAACAGTGCAGCAAATGTTATCCACAGGGCTGAAATCAAATGCATAAAACAGGTACAATTCTGTGAGCTTTTAAAAGACACATACCATTGATTACCAACAGATCAAGTGGCCTCACTCACGCATGTAAGAGTTTTCTGGCTTTTTGAGAACCCTTAGATCACACGTCACATTTGCTGATGATTGGCTCGCAGACTCTTCCACCATGTACTCATACCAGCCTCTTTCGCCAAAAAGGTGCTCCAGCCTGCAAATCACCATAACATTGGTTTTTACTAAGCATTCAAAGAGACGTATTGTTGATTACAGTCAAAGTACGCGAACGTCACCCGATGGTTTCATCGTGATTTAATGAACGGCGCAATGAACGCTGAACGCTGTTTTTCAATAGATCGTCCAACGCTTCTGATTATGCTAATTTATGGGATACAAGCCTCAAAATTCCACAGATTGAAGGAGGGTGAAAAAAAAAACTGTTGACAGAGCGATTTTAGTGTGATTTGAATAACGGAGAAAATATCATATGTAGCAATGAAAACAGTCACAGCAATTTTTCCATACAAACCCTAATTATTTTGCAGACATTTCAACACCGTCCAGTAATAATTAGCATCCTAGTCTTTCTTTTCAGTCACCTCTGAATTAGCTTCTCAGCTTATTTTCTAATGCTTCCTCTATCCCTGGCATTTTTTAAAGGTGTATCCCTTATATAGCAGGTCAAGTGATTGCAAGCAGCAAAGGGCCTGATGATAGTTGTAGTTATCTGAGGTCATCGAGAAAATGGCGCAAATGGCGCGTAAACTGCTGGAGTGTGTGTGGAGAACAGTCAACAAATGTCTTGTATTGGAAAAACTCAACCAAACCTTGAAACAGTGCCGTAGAGTACAAGATTATAACGTACCTGCAAAGACTTTCTGATCCATTTTGATTTTTGATTTCGAGTATAAAACTGTAATGAGTTTTAATGATTATGAAATCGCTGTCAAAAAGTGAAGTTCTAAGTTTTTGCAAGGGGCACTGCAAAACGAAAAAACAAAAGCAAACTAAGTGAAATCTTGAAGTATAACAAAGACACAACTATAAAAGTTCAGTTCAGTTTATTGTTCTGCCAGTTCAGTTCAGTTCAGTTTATTTTCCCTCTTTGCCATAAGGATCTACAAAAAAACAAGGCAATCTAGATAATTAAAAGGCTAACGGCGAGGAAGCCCAAGGGAACCCAAAGGGCTTGTAAGGAATGGGCTCCCCCGGTTAAATTATTACAACAAAATATTAACAGAATTATACATGCAAAAATCAATGGTAGAGCTACAGACAAAGAACAATTTGAGTGGTGAAAGATGCAATAACATACAATGGGTCTTGCTTGGGTCTCTAACCATTGGGTGAGGTAATTTTTCCCGCCATGACTATACCTTACGTTTCCCGCTCTTGGCAGGTGTTAAAAAAAGTGTTTCCCTCCACTTTCCTAAAAGTGTAAAGGATCTGGGGAGGTTTTATCCCGACCGCCAAGGCCAAATCTTGTTAACTTCCCATCCTCATTTTTCTGTACCTCGGCAAATTCAGGATACAAGAAAATGTTCTTCAGATAGTTGCATTTTTGCTGTTCTTTCTAATTGTTTTTGAACGGTAGTTCGGCGATCTTTTCTACATAAAACGTGTTAAATTTGCCGCCAATTTCTTCTCTACCAAAAGAACTGCGCAAACTTTCCGTCTTCCCCGGTGCTTATGGGTTACCATTTCTTTTTCTGGTGATACCCTGTATTATTGACTTCATTCAACTGGGTATCGTAAACGTCGTCCCTATTAGGTCAACGCTAGCTGGTTAGCCGAGGTATTTGAAGCAATCAGATCGGAGAAATATTTTGAATGAACAATAATATCGGTATAGGATACAGAGTAAGCTAAGCTTGCCATTAGCTACAGATCTACAACTGACATATATAAAATACCTTGTAACAGTTGGAGTCAATACCCCAAACTGTTAAAGGTTGATGTAGAGTGGAAGTGATGTTCAGAAGAGCTGTGTCCATTTTTAACTTTCCAGAAAACTTCTCTTTCTGCGGATATGACGGTGTTTCGTTACAAACCAAACCTGTGATTAAGGAACCAAACACATTGTTAGTTACTCAATTAACCCAGGCATTTAAGCCGGTTGAGGTTGTAGCATTAGATCAAAGAATGGGAGAAACCATCACGGATATTTTCTATTTCCGGTAATACAAAATTCTCTAAGGTTTGGTGAAACAGTGTTTTTTTGTTTTTGTTTTGGTTTTTTTTCTTAACCTGTTGTACCTTGGGATACCTTTTAAACTGCGTAAAATTTGAAACAAAAAATTGACACAAATCATGCCTTTTATTTGAACTGGTTTAACCCTGCTTTTATTACGCTTTAGAGTATTGTTTTGGGCCCGCACGGATGTATTGTCCTATTAGTTCCCTGTCCATTAGTATTCCTGTCTAATCACAGGATTCTTTGTTAAGCTTATCTACAATAGGCTCTGATGGACGGGTGAACAATCATGGTATTGTTGTTTGTTAGAATTACGGTAGTTGCTTTCGTTCTTTCATTTTTAAGTGGTCAAGGAAACTGTCAGGAATTGATGGCAAAGTTACAAACTTGAGACTTTCCAAACCTTATACAACGGACGACGAACTATTGTAGGTGATCCGATCCTTCGTCACAAAAAGTGTAGCGGAGACAAATGAATAACGAATGTCTAAGTTATTAGGTTCTTTGAATAGAATTAGAAATTACGGGACTTCGTGATCAGTAATGACGTTTTGATGGTCTATTAAACACTGCCTAAATTCAAAGTTAATATATTCTTTTGATATATTTTTTCATCTGATTGTCAGCCATTGGTATGATGTGTAAATGTGCATGCATGTGTTCTTGTCAACTGATCAAGTTTCAGTAATCGTGTAAGAGAATGGGTGGAAGTTCAGTTGTACTTTATCTCTTTTATAACTCTTACTGGCGCTTTAAGTTCCCATTTATCATTAACAATGTAAGACTGAAAAAATCGCAACACACTTACCAAACAAACAAAGACAAACTGAGACAGATAGAAAGATCATTTGAATTAAGGCCATGGTTTCAAGCTGGTGAACACAGCAAATGGATTAAACAAGATCAGAATACGACGCTGACTCACTGAACTTTGGGTTTGACCTCTGTCAAACTAAAAAAAATAAATCAGACAGCGCATTAGCATATTAAATAGTCAGTTATCATAGTACAGTAATGTAGTAATACAGTGCACTGATGCAGTCACGTTGGCATGGCGCTAAACAGAAATTTTCAGACATGTCTCTTCCTTCATTTTCTTTTGATTTTCTTTCAGTAGGCGGGGAACAAGCTGATAGTTAGGGTAAAAGTTAGGCTAGATAACACGATTCTACATTTAGCCGGGGAAAACTGGGGATAATATTACTGTTTAGTACTCCGTTGGGTTTTTTTGTTTGATTTGTTGTTTTCAAAAAACAAGTAGTTGCCACTCCTACAGGAAATTTTTATGTTAACAGTTCCGATCTAGAATTATATAAACTGTCTTCCCCTCGCTTTGGGGCTAAACTGTGGAATGAGATACCCTGCAAGTCACATCCGACTTCCAGTCCCCAAGAATAAGTTTAAAAGAAAAAAACACTCCGCAAATTTCTTTTTTTTTTAATCTGAATTCAGAATAATGACTATATTGATACGCCCACCTTAATTGAAACGGTAAAATTAGCCAAAAATGTCGAAAAATAAATCCTTGCTTATTAGTTTCTACTTTTACAATTTATTTGTTATCTAGTCCTCATCCATATTGCGATTTTTATTTCATTTCTTTGTAAACTGTAATTAAACTTTCCGTAGTTTAAAATTCTAGTTTTCCGACGCGCATCCCCGTCATATGAGAGTCTTACCCCTACCCCACCCCATCCTTTCCCAACATTGGATGAAGAGAACGTAAAATAAACAAATCAGACACAAGGTTAGTCATTTTTGTTCCGAAGTTTTTCAAAAGCGTATTTTTTCAATCTCTCTGTGTCGAGGCTGAGCTTCTTTTTCTACAGTTCATGCGCGCGCGCATGCAACATACCGCACGTGCTTTCTAAAACCAAGAAGAATGCTAAGCATCTCTTCCAATTCAGAGAAAATTTGATCAGTGATGGCACGTTTGCTACTTTGACTGAACAAGACCGCGAGCCTGTTTTTTTTTTTTTTTTTTTTTTTATTTTTTTTTGGGTTAGGGGGAAGGGAAATTTTGTAAATTTTGTTTTTGTGTTAAAAAAAAAAAAAAATTTGAAAATTGTCGATTTTTTCGGGAAAAAGGAAAGATCTTGAAACATTTTTCCCGTTTATTTTCCACTTTAAATAGATACAAGGGCCCCACAAAGTGTTTCACAATGTTGCCATAATGAACCGGCCTTTTCACATTTTCATAACTCTCATGTTATTACTTTTTTTTTCTTTTATAATAGTTTAGTTGCTTTTCTCATAATACCCCCTCCTTGTTTTTTTCAAACTAATAATTTGGAAGGAATTTTCCAATCTCGCGAGAAATTTTGTTCAGTATTTTATTTTTTGTTTTTTTTATGAAAAAAAACTAGAGGCTGTTTTTTTTTTTTTTTTTTTTTTAGTTTTCTTTTGGTTAAGAGGTAAGGAAAATCTGATAAATTCAGTTGTATGTTGCAAAAAAAAGACATTCGAAAATGTCTATGTTGTACGGAAAAAGGTATCAGTCTTGAACACTTTTTCCCGTTAATTTTCAGCTTACATGAGTAGCAAGGCTCGCACAAGGTGTTCAGCAAGCTGGCCATAAGAGACCGGCTTTTCACAAATGGAGATAAACATGTAAATTATTGAAGTAAAGCCTTCTAGCTATAATTCTGTAAATGTACATGTTGTGCGTGATTTATTAGTCCGGCAGATTGGATAGTTTGTTTGATGAAACAAACTCGAAGCGCGGCGTTGCTAAAACGAGGGTAAGGGTAACACCAAGGTGGGGGTGAGGGTAAGTTTGAGGGTAAGGGTAAGGGTGACTGTTAAGAAGGCATTTTGTCATTAATTCCCCGTCATTAAGCATCATCTGGCATATTATTGGAGAACGGTGCTCTTTAAAATGAAAGGCTGGTCCAGGGCTGTTCTAATTTCAAGGTTTGGCTAGCTTTCGTGTTTCTGTTGCAGTTAAGTATTTCCAACAACGTGACCACAAATTAATTTTTTGCTCTTGAAAGGCTTGAATAAAGGTATGGATTAATAGTCTTCGATCGTTCTCTGTACACTAAGGGACTGTTTATATGGGGATGTGGGACCCTGGGTTGGCGAGGTGAGTCCGAAAAGCAAACCACCTTTTCATGCAATCTTAGAACGTCCACAATCCCTCATGTTACAAAAAACATGCCAACAATCTTTCAGATAATATTTATGTTACTTTTGGAGACAAGCAAACTGTACATATAACACTTTCCCTTAAAAAAGGCAAATGTATGGTCTTCAAACCGCGCCAAGTCCAAGACGTACGAATTGTAAAATTCAAAGAAATATAAAGTATAAAGAAGACAATCTTTGGGGGAGAAATTTTGGATGAAAATCTAAATTGGAATTCACACAACAATTCTCACCCTTACCCTCACCCCTACCCTTACCCTTTCCCTCACCCCACCCTTGGTGTTACCCTTACCCTCGTTTTAGCAACGCCGCTCGAAGCGTGATACCCACGAGCAGTCGCGAGAAGCGCGGAGAACTCTTTCGCTTGCATCTTGGCTCGATCCAAGTAGCTCTTGGGTCTTTAAAATAAAAGAAGAAAATTGAAGAATTAAATGGGAATATCTTATTTCCCTAACCTGGTCCAAATACTGGTTCATCTGCTGTTTTGTCATCAGAAATGAAATCCAGGGAGCTGCGGCGAGTATACCGGTATGAAATTTAAAGAGGTCACAAGGCAAATTACTGTTGCTGGAAATATCTCTAAGTCTAAAAAATAAAAAAATCTAAAAGCCGTATCTTTTCGTCAAAAGGATGCCTAAAATGTGTGCAATTCCACAATTGGTTTTGACACCATTAAATCCCATACCAATTGTAGAACACTAGGGGGAGTCACTCATCAATGTGAGCACACCTACTGACAAGGTATATGAATAGGAAAATAACCAAAGAAATGTAATGCGTTAAATAACGAACTAAGTACTCACGTCAATTAAGAAATAAAAGAGAAAGTGCTCGCATATTTAAAGGCTGTTTGTCCGCCTGTTCCTGTCGCCTGCGGCAGCTGAAAGTCCAGTCCGCTATTCTGGCAATTATTCCACCAGCTTTCATTTTTTCCTGTACCAGTCCTTTTCGGCGAAACTTGTCCGCCTTTCATGGAAGTGCGTGCAGACGTTGTGCAGACGACAACAGAGTGTTCATGGCGTTTTCGCTTTTATTTGCTATTTTGGCTTTGCTTTCAACACAGAGATTGGGTAAGGTACAATTACTTGCAGTTGTTTTTGCTATTATTCTCCTCGCAGGTGTTTGGCTCGAAACAGTCTATCTTTAATTCAGTTTTTACTACGAACATTCATATGCTTCCGGTTAAAGTTGCTTAAGCGAATTTAGATGCACTTATCATAGCGATAAACAAAGGATGGGAACCTTTTTATCATAGTCATTCTTTGTGTTTCTTTCTTCTCCCTTGTTGATGAATCCATAACTGTCGAGTATGTATTCAGTAAATAATCATGTGAACCTGAGGAGCAGTGAGTGACCTTTGTCACGTATGTTTATAAGAGTTGCACAACTGATACATTTGCAGATGCAAAATACCATGCAAGTTAAGTGAAGCAACGAGTGCATTTAAAAAGGGATGAAAGGTAATCGAAATACATAGACTGTTCACAATCCTCTATTTTTCCGTAAGATCATAGAGTTTGAGAGCTTTGTGTTACGGGCTACCCATCTTGCATGAGTGTCAAGACTACTTAGGGGGTGGGGGCGGTTTGGGAGGAAGCGAGAAAAATAGAGGGACTGTAATAACATCACTGCAGCTCGCGTTCAGAAGGCGTGACAGGAATTTCACGCCTTTCACTACTCATTAATTAAGAAGCTCTGCTGGCGATGAAAAACATGCCAGACACTTTTAGCATTGATTACGCGTGTTTACAAATATCTCCTTTCAAAACAGTGATTTTATAATGTTTCTGGGCCATTCCTCGAAATAAAATCGGCAAACATGCACAACAAAACATTTTCCTAATCAAAATACCAAAAATGCTTTGCGTGGTTGCGCAAGATGTGCCTTATGGTATGAAAGCGTGCGTTTAATGGAAACGTCGACTTGTCAACGACTTGTCATTGTCGGCAACTTAAACTAAACCCGATGTCAACATCTATTGCCTAATGACCAACCAAATGCCTGCGTTGCTGGTACAACGCGCTCCATGAACGCGAGCTGCAGTGATGTTATTACAGTCCCTCTATTTTTGTAAGAACAGTTCCCAGTGAGAAATATTGCTGCAAGTATAATAGGTAATGGCGTCATTTCGTTGCTATGACAGCTCCAATGTCATTGCAATCCTGATCATGACAAATTTCTCTCTTTATCTAATACTACTGTGGTGGCAATTTTTTCCAAATGCTTGTTTGTGGCGACGTAGTTTATGCTCAAACTTGGCAGGTATTGACTCTGAAAAATTGTATCGAGCCACTTTCATATGCCAGTACGGCCTATTTTGTTGCATGGCCCTAGTTTCCTTTCGACTGTTTTGTAAAAATTTGGGCAACTTGCAAGAATTTTTTGGGCAAATGGATTACCGCCCCCCCTGGCAAAAAATTGCCCATATGCCTATGAGTCTACGAAATACATCACTTACATGTGTGACAGGCGAGTTCCCTCGCTCCTATTTTTAACAAAAGTAATTTGCTTTGTGAAGTAGAGGTATACATCTGAATTTATGGCTCCGTCATTTCCAAGCCTGCTATCCCCCCTCCTACCCCTGGTAATTTACAAGGCATTTGTCTAGCTTTTTTAAAGTAATGTTACAGCCCCACAGTGTCGGGTCTGTGAGCTTCTGAAAGAGTACAAATGTTCTCACCTTCAGATTGATCACTGCATATAAATTATACACTC